CTAAGATGTTCTATAATTTCATGTGTTCAAATACATTTTGACTGTCCCCATTTGTATTGTCTTTCACTACACTAAAACGGCTTACATAGAGGTAGGTTAGAGAAAGGTTGTGGATGCAGAGTATAGTATTTATATGGATAAACTACATTAATAGTCCCTGGAAAAAAGGTGTAGGAAGTTGTATACTTTTTCGTTGACATTTCGTGAGTTAATTATCACATGTCTGTAGAAGTTTTGAGTGATATATGCTGAAGTTTGTGCAAATGCACTGTGAATGAAATATAGTAGCACTGTTATCTGATCAACTACCGAGTCCATATAATCATTAACATGTTTAACCGTTATTGGATTCAACTCTCACTATGATAATCGACAGTAGAATACAAGTCTACCGATGTGATGAGTCCTAAAAGGAATGAAATAGACATTCTAGATTACATTACTAACCTCAATCTGTATATTTAGGAAAAAATTTGTAACGAAATGGTAATATCAAACCTTTTTTCCTCTCGTGATGAACATAAGCTAATAGAATGTGATCATTTGCAGTCCTTAATGTCAACAGCTGAAAACGATTAATGTCTATAAATTACTAATGAGAGTCATTATATCCTGAAGATACCACAGGTATTTTGAGTTTAATAACACTTTAACCAGTAACACCTACTACTATAAATCATACTCACCTAGTGAAATTAAAAGTCAGACGTGAAGAGGTTTGAAGATATATTTAATAGGCTATCAATATATCGAGAAACAAATGATCTAGGCTAGCTAGCGATTGTAGAGGATGTTGAGCATAGCATTCCCACTCATGATCTGGTGTGAATGCATGAATGAGCACCATCTGCTAGATGAGTCCATTAAAACTAACGTGATAAGCATCCAAATGTCGAAGAATTATAGATCTGATTGAAATCATGAGACAATTGAAACTAGACCACCATGGAAAACCTGGAAGTACTGGACGGCCGTTTCGTCTCAGTATGACACTCCTCAGCAGTGCACACACACGATCCCGCCTTGCGAGATTCGAACCCAGGGCCTATCAGTCTCGCGCCAGCCGCTTAACCAACTAGACTACTGAGCCGGCTGGCATCCAATGGTGTTAATGTCTAACTTCAAACAATCCACGAAGTTGCGCTACCGTATACCATTGTTTTCAGTGAGCTGATATCTCACAGCAGACCTGGTTGAACTCCACTGGTAACGGCTTCTCACTAGAACTCCAGGAGTATCTTCTGAAGTCAGTCACTAGTGAGCAGATGATTATTATCAGAAGGGGTTTGTGGAGATTTTAGAAATTTCACAGATTGAAATCATGAGTCAATTGAAGCTAGACCACCATGGAAAACCTGGAAGTACTGGACGGCCGTTTCGTTCTAGTATGGGACTCCTCAGCAGATCTACATCTATTGATTCTGGGGATTTATTAACCTCTACAATACATACGTGAAGAAAGTTCATGTGATTGATATTGTGTTAACCATTTTGAATGTATTACCTTTTTAATGTAAGAACTGCATGTTTCTATTCATGATCATATGTCATTGAACATATCATGAAATAACTTCTAGTCATTTTCATAGATTATACATTTTATTAATTAACAATAATTAGGATAAAATGAAACGAAGAATTACAAAAAAGCCATGTGATTGTCAGTTATGTATTTCATAAGTGTTTGAGTTTTATACAAGTCAATGAGTTAGGATATTTGATTTATTCATATTCAGTGTACTAGTTCTAGGCATAGATACACATGACTAATCATAAGTTTCCGTTTTAGATATTATCGACAAATATTTCTGGTATTGAGTTTTCTGAGTTTTTAATTGAATAGTGGTAGATGGAAGGAAACTCTTTTCGATCTAAATTTCGGGTTGTTTTAAACATTTGTCAGTAAGTTGTAATTACAGTCTTGGAGAAATTGATAATCCCTGTGGAATTCGATCCCATGTCGCATGACTCTACAGACGAAAATTACTTACTTACTTACGCCTGTTACTCCTCGTGGAGGAGCATAGGCTGCTCATCAGCATTCTCCATCCAACCCTGTCCCAGGCAATCCTTTCTAGCTCCGTCCAGTTGTAATTCATCTTTTTCATATCTGTTTCTATTATCCGACGCAATGTGTTCTTTGGCCTTCCTCTTTTCCGCTCCCCTTCAGGATTCCAAGTTAGGGCTTGCATCGTGATGCAGTTTGATGATTTCCGTAATGTATGTCCTATCCACTTACAAAGTCATTTTATAATTTCCTATCCAGCTGGAAGTTGGTTTGTTCTCTCCCACAATAGGCTGTTGCTGATGATATCCGGCCAATGGATGTTGAGTATCTTGCGTAGACAGTTATTTATAAATACTTGTACTTTCTTGATTGTGGTTGTTGTAGTTCTCCAAGTTTCAGGTCCGTACAGTAGACAGACTAAGATGCTACCGCTAAAACCTCCGATGTGCGATTGACCACCTATAAGACTAAAACATTTATGCCTTGTTAGCAAACCCCAACCAGCTATCACTGATATTTACGACACTATCATCATTGTCTGCATTATATAGAGGTGATTTTTCAGTCACTATTTGTACGTATATGTCAAGTTATTTGAATCAGATAGCCTTATTCATGATTGACTTTCCAGGTAATTTTTATTTCCTTCATTCTTGTTAGTTGTCTTTTTCTGTTTATGAAATGAATGAAGAACTTTGACTCTAAGTATAGTAGGCTTTAGTGATGCCATTCAGAATAGAATCAGAAAAACATTTCACTCATTGAACACAGCACTACAGCAAGTATCTCTCATTAAAACAAAAAGCTTTGATGGTTTTCAAATGCATGATATTTATAAAATCTGCTGTCTATCCGAATTCTAATAAATGTAATTTCCTGGAATTCTAGTGAAAAGCAGTGACCAGTGAAGTTCAGCCAGGTCTATTGTGAGATATCAGCTCACTGAATACAGTGGTGGATGTATCGCTCAATTTGGTGGATTAGTTAAAATTAGACATTAACACCATTGGATGCCGGCCAACTCATTGGTCTAGAGGTTAGTCGTTCTGATTTCGAATCTCATCAAACGGGATCATGGATACACACTATTGAGGGATCCCACAATAAGACGAAACGGCCATCCAATACTTCCAAGTATTAGATGATGGTCTAGCTCATAATCTGAACTATTGAAATTACTAATAATATCCACAAAAACCGCTCCTGATATTAATCAACATATGCTCACTAGTGACGGGTTTCAAAATGCATATCTTGGAGTTCTAGTGAGAAGCTGTCTATCTGAATTCTAGTAAATGTAATTTCCTGGAATTCTAGTGAAAATCAGTGACCAGTGGAGTTCAACTGGGTCTATTGTGAGATAGTAACTCAATGAAAGCAGTGGTGGATGTGTTGCTCAATTTGGTGGATTAGTTGAAGTTAGACATTAACACCATTGAATGCCGACCAACTCGATGGTCTAGTGGTTAAACGTTCGCGTGCGACACCGATAGATCGTAGGTTCGAATCTTGCGAAACGGGATCATGAATGTGCACTGCTAAGGAGTCTCACAATAAGACGAAACGGGCGTTTTAAATGGTGGGCCAACTTCAATTGACTCATGATTTCAACTGTTGAAATTATTAAAATCTTCATAAAAGCCCTTCTGATTCAATATGTGTTGTCTTAGATATGCTGTTCAAATTAATCAGGTGAAACATTTAATTGATGATGTCTGGAAGTATCATGCTTATCAATGGATAAAATAAAGTTATATCGGCTCAAATTGCATAGAAGTCCACTATAAGAAACTATAAACAGTACATAGATAGATCAAAGATAATAATATAAGGCGAACAGTTGTTGTTAACAGTTATACAAATATAAGAACTCGATTAAAGTTTACAATGTCCAAACAATATCACTTTGTAACTTGATTGTCTAATAGTATTAGAATTCCTAGAAGAAAAACACAAATAACCTCTGACTTGTGGGTTTTGAGCTCATTTTGTTTTAACCCAATCAATGTTGATTATTTCAGAAATTTCCAGTTTCATTTATAATCTACAATCTTATCTAAATCACTATAGAACATCTTGAAGCATTGAACAACCATCTTATTCTAATATAAGATACACCAGTAGGTAGTGTTAATGTACAAACTTAAACACAGAAATCAATATCTAAACACTTCATTTACACTTGTGAATACTTAATCACTAAAAGATCCTATAAGGTAGGATCATAGATGCTTAATATTGATGAATCTCATAATAGGATGAATTGACTATCTAGTACTCGTATATCCTAGGACCATCAATTAAGTAATGCAGTTGTTAGGAAACAGGTACTAGGTAAGGATGGCAAATCAATTGATGACGTAGTGAAACTTCATCATTTGAGATGGCTGGGACACGTGTTACGCATGCCCAACGACCGACTTCCTCGACGTGCGATGTTTATTGGTATAGGAATAGGTTGGAAGAAAGCTAGGGGCGGCCAGATCAAAACATGGCACAAGTCCATGAAGTCACTGACAAGTAGACTGAGTCATGTTGGTAGGTGTAGACTACCTGGTTGGGGACCGCGAGAGGATGGTTAGAGACCCTGAATGACACGGCTCAAAATCGTTTGCAATGGCGCAGGTGCATCCACTCTTTGTGTTCTCCCAAATTCTAATCTCCTTGATTCCTCCTTGTCTCCTTTTTCTCTTCCCAAATTTATTTCACTGTATTATACTCTTTAAATAACTTCTCCAAACCCTAATCTTCCCGATTACTGCTTATACTCTTGCTATCTCTACCACTACGGGATTTGAATTGACCACTGCATCTCAGTGCTAAGTTGGTGTGGCAACTCGAACTGATGCACGTACATACAAAGTTCTACGTTGTTACTGACTGACTGACTGACTGACTGACTTCCAGGTTTTCAATAACTTCATCAATTAGATTCATGATCTTAATGAATTAAAAAGAAAAGAGAAAAGAAAAGTTAATATTGATCACTTACATTGATCATTTTGATACATTTCATCAATAAATGGTAATTGATCTAATCGATAAAAATAATTTTTTAATTTTTCTATTGAAATTGATTTCACATTGATATATTGATTATTAATGATCCCATAATTTGGTGTACTTTTATATAATTTTTTATATGATGATGATGATGATGATGATGATGAACATAAACTAACAAATGTTGACATCATAAGAATATTATAACTAATATCAATCATTGAAAATATAATAGATCTACTGAAAGATCTAAGATAATAATGTTCAACACGAAGAAATGGATCACTTTCTTGATCCACTATCTTAGATGTGTCTATATGTAGATCTAGATATATCAATTACTGAAGATCAAATAACAAATAAAGTACAGTATAATTTGAATTTGAATTGTATACTATTAGGATCAAAATTATACAGTTAAACAAATCATTCAATGATTCAATGAATAAAAGAAGGAAGTAGTGTTTACACTAGGAGAAATTTAAATTTTATAGATCATGTGTTCAGTGAATTGATTTTTTTGTTGTTGGTTGATTGATTATTGATTTTATGCACTCAAATAATTTATATTGATATTAATAGGAAGAAATAAATAATCAATAATTATGTAATTTTGGATAAGCGGCCTGTTTGAGTATCTGGGCTACATGTTTCTGCTAAACTAGATCCTTCAACAAGTTATCTATTTTTTTGTTTGTTTTAATATATGTCATGATGTCTGTTCATTGCATAACACCATTCTGGTGCACTTCTAAAAAGTGTACAACTTTTCATTGTCAAAGTTACAAAAAGCCTAATAGCAGATAATGTGGTTGCTGGTAATATGCAACGAAAAGAATATACATTATTCAGATGTTCATTTACTGGACTGCTAACATCTAACTGGCGATCATTCAAGGATCAACCAAGAAATAAGAAACGGAAACTTGTTGAAATAATTTGTGCTGAGAATTCTATATTGTACCGAAAATATAATACTGAATAAAGCTTATAATAATAATGATAATAATCACAATAACTGCTTCTCAATAGAACTCCAGGATATACATCTTGAAGCCTGTCACTAGTGAGCATATGTTGATTAATATCAGAAGCGGTTTTTGTAGATAGTATAGTTAAGATTATGAGTTAATTAAAACTAGACCATCATGGATAACCTGGAAGCATTGGACGGTTGTTTCGTCCTATTGTGAGATTCCTCATCAGTGTGTATCCATGATCCCGCTTCGCAAGATTTCATTAATATTTTATAATAATATTTATTATAAATAATTATAAAATAAATGTAAGTTAATTATTTTATTTTTCACAGGTTGAAATCATGAGTCAGTTGAAGCTAGACCACCATGGAAAACCTGGAAGCACTGGACGGCCGTTTCGTCCTAGTATGGGACCCCTCAGCAGTGCTCATCCACGATCCCACACCACGCGGGGCTCGACCCCAGGACCTACTGGCTTCGCGCGCGAGCACTTAACCACTAGACCACTGAGCCGGCAACCAGTAGTGTTAATGTCTAACTTCAACCAATCCATGAAGTTGCGCCACCGTATGCCATTGTCTTCAGTGAGTTGTTATCTCACAACAGACCGGTTGAACTCCACTGGTAACGGCTTCTCACTAGAACTCCAGGAGTTTTTCCTGAATTGGCAAATTGGTTCATATTTAGTCAAGGCATGAATAATTTAATTTGCTTATTCTGGCTAGTGATTTGTATTTTTTAGTAAGGTTATTTTCTATGGGATAAAGTTGTCAACTTCATGTCTAACCCTTCTTCTTTATCCGGGATTTGGACTGAGACAGCGACCCTAGAAGAGCTATAAAGCGGTATTAATTATATATAAACATACTGTTGGTTATTAATGATTAATTACGTTATATTATTAAGGAAAAATAATATTTTGACAGAGAGGGGTTTTCTGGATATTATGGTAATTTAGTAATTGAAGCTAGACCACCATGGATGCTGGTTCAGTGGTCTACAGGTTAAGAGTTCGTGAGCGAGACTAATAGATCCTGAGATCGAATCTCAAGAGGCGAGATCATGAATGCGCACTGCTGACGAGTCCCATATTAGGACGAAACGGCTTTCTAGTGCTTCCAGGTTTTCCATGGTGGTTTAGCATCAAGTGACTGATGAATTCTACTAATAAACTAGATATTTAATTGTTTTTATAGAAAAGATGTATATTAGTCAACAATGGAACTCATATAATCTATCAATATTTTACTTACTTACTTACTTACTTACGCCTGTTACTCCTAATAGAGCATAGGCCACAGACCAGCATTCTACAACACACTCTGTCCTGGGCCTTCCTTTCTAATTCCATCCTATTCTTGTTCATTTTTCCCATGTATGTCTCCATTTCTCAGCGTAATGTGTTCATTGGTCTTCCTCTTTTCCTTTGGCCTTCCGGATTCCATGTGAGGGCTTGTCTTGTGATGCAGTTGGGTGCTTTCCTCAATGTGTGTCCTATCCACTTCCAGTGCTTCTTCCTGATTTCTTCCTCCACTGGGATGTGATTTGTTCTCTCCTATAGTAGGTTGTTGCTAAAATATTGGAAACGCTAACCAGAAATCAATATTTTATAACAAGTTATATCTATAATAACTACCTGAATAATTTTTTTTAACGATATTTATGATACACATATCCATCAGTTAATATATTTTCGTTAATAAGTATTGTCTATTTAGTAAATACAAACTTCAATGTAGAGTAGGTTGTTACTAACGAAGATTATCTTTTGGTATTAGATTCAATAAAGATGTATAAGTTAAAAAGTAAATATTCCAGATGATGAAACCATTAAGAAACATTCGATAAGAAATACAGATGAGAAGCAAAAATCCACACTTTGGTAGGATCAAAATACACTAATTCGTTAAAAGCAAACAAACTTTTGAAATAAAATAATAGTTACTTATAAGTAATATGATGTAGTAATATTGAATTCGATGATGTAACGAATAATCATCGGATCGATGTTGATGGGTTCAATGTCAGTAAATTGGTTGCAGCTTCTGTAGCCGCTAAATATAAAACCGAGTTAGGTTCAAGTGTAGCTACCATCCCACCGAGAAGTATATATGAGCATTGGTTGCAATTACATAACGCCATGAAAATGGTGAACAAAGTCGCTTGCGAAATGTCTCGCTGAATTTCTTCAGGCTCCTTATAATTCATTGAAGCCCGTCGGTCTACACCTGAAGGCCACAAGTTTGACTATAAACAAAGATTGTTACGCAATGAAATTGGGCAAAGACCGAGAAGCCTGGTGGTTGGAGTGTGCCAACGAATTGGAAGCAGTAGCTGCCTCTGGTAACTGCCACAAGCTCTTTCAATTCATCTGAGGCACTGGTAGCAAGAAGTCTGGTGTGAGCAGAACAATCTGTAAAAATGACGAGATGATAATCACTAACATCTGTCGACGTCTTGGACGATGGGCAGAGTTTTTCGAGGAGCAGTTCAACTGGCCTGCTGCCCCAACAACATCGATCAGACTGTCCTGCCCTCCATGGCCTGTGACCACTGATTCACCTAATGAGGTAGAAATCGTCAAGAAACTTCAACTCTTGAAGCGCTGCAAATCACCAGGTTCGTAAAACTTACCTCCTGTCCTTTTTAAAGATAATGGTGACTTTCTGGTCAAGGAACTGTTTGAGTTGTTTACAAAGGTTTGGAAGTTAAACAGTGTTCCAACATCATGAAATGAGTCGATAGTTATCCTTATCTTTATAAAGGGTTTACGTCTTTTCTGTAACAACTGTCGAGGGATAAGTCTACCCACAATTGCGTCCAAACTATTGGCTTCCTTCATAATTCGTAGACTGTTCGAAACCCGAGAAAGATTGACTTTCGAGGAACAGGCTAGTTTTCGTTCTGGACGAGGATGTATTGATCACATCTTCACCCTCCGTTAAATGTTAGAAATCATTTGGAATAAAATGAATCAAACCAAATCTTCCTATCAGTTCAATAAGTTATTGATTTTTGGATGAAGTTGTGTTAATAGGTGTATACTCAAAAAAGGAGGTTACAGTTGCACAGATATATTCATTCCATAAATTTTTTTAAATATTGAGTCTCCACTTATATTTGAATCTTCTTTAGAAAACCCAATTCTTATGGTTGATCTTATTAAACAGATAGCTATTACTATCGATTCCATATATTTTGTGTATACATTGTTCAGATGTACATTTCTAACATAGTTTATATCGTTTTGATAGATTAACTTGTAATTAATCTGGGAACTATTAAATACACATAAAGTAGATACAAATTTTGTGATTCAATATATCAGTAGTTGAAATCATGAGTCAATTGAAGCTAGACCACCATGGAAAACCTGGAAGCACTGAATGGTCGTGAGCAGTGGCGTTCAACCTGGTCTGTTGTGAGATATCAGCTCACTGAATATAATGGTGAACGGTGGCGAAATTCCGTGGATTGGTTGAAGTTTGACATTAACACCATTGAATACCGACCAACTCAATGGTCTAAAGATTAAGCGTTCGCGCGCAACATCGATAGATCCTGGGTTCCAATCTGGCGAGCAGGATCATGAATGTGCACTACTGAGGAGTCTCACAATAGGACCAAATGGGCGTCTAATACTCCCGAGTTTCAAATTTTGGTCCTACTTCAATTGACTCATGATTTCAACTGTTGAAATTAATAAAATCTTCACAATGGTCCTTCTAATTCAATATATGTTGTCTTAGATACGCTGTTGAAATTAATCATGTGAAACATTTAATTGATGATGTTTGGAATTATCATGCTTATCAATGGATAAAATAAAGTTATATTTTATGGAACTATGAAATTTTTCTGTACAATCAGTATGATAACATTTAATGCCTAATCGTTCATAACTTACCTACTTACGCATGTTACCGCTCCTTGAGGAGCATAGGCGGCCCATCAGCATTCTCCATACAACACTGTCGTGGACAATCCTTTCCAGTTATTTCCAGTCGCTGTTTATTCTTTTCATGTCTGCTTACAATTCCAGATTCAGTGTGTTCATCTGCCTTCCTCGTTTCATTTTCCATTCAGGATTCTAAGTAATCACTTGCCTCGTGATGCAGTTCGATGATTCCCGTAATGTATGTCCTATTCACTTCCAACGTCTATCCCTAATTTCTTCCTCAGCTAAAAGTTGGTTTGTCCTCTCTCATACTAGGCTGTTGCTGATGGTATCCGATCAACGGACAATGATTATCCTACGTGGACAATTGTTTGTAAATACTTGTACTTTTTTTAATGATTGTTGTAGTAGTTCTCGAAGTTTCAGCTCCATACAGTAGAACTGTCTTGACGTTGGTATTAAAGATTGTGACTATAATATTAAAGTTGTGTTTCGTCACATACGTTCTAAAATTGAAAGAATGCGGTCGTTGCTTTGCCATTCCTTACCATTACATCTGTATCAGCTCCTTGTTATTTATTGACGATTCTTCCCAGGAACGTGAACGTTTCCATCTCTCTTGGTATGTGATTATTAAACGTAAAAGTAATAGTAGTAGTAGTAGTAGTAGTAGTAGTAGTAGTAGTAGTAGTAGTAGTAGTAGTAGTAGTAGTAGTAGTAGTAGTAGTAGTAGTAGTAGTAGTAGTAGTAGTAGTAGTAGTAGTAGTAGTAGTAGTAGTAGTAGTAGTAGTAGTAGTAGTAGTAGTAGTAGTAGTAGTAGTAGTAGTAGTAGTAGTAGTAGTAGTAGTAGTAGTAGTAGTAGTAGTAGTAGTAGTAGTAGTAGTAGTAGTAGTAGTAGTAGTAGTAGTAGTAGTAGTAGTAGTAGTAGTAGTAGTAGTAGTAGTAGTAGTAGTAGTAGTAGTAGTAGTAGTAGTAGTAGTAGTAGTAGTAGTAGTAGTAGTAGTAGTAGTAGTAGTAGTAGTAGTAGTAGTAGTAGTAGTAGTAGTAGTAGTAGTAGTAGTAGTAGTAGTAGTAGTAGTAGTAGTAGTAGTAGTAGTAGTAGTAGTAGTAGTAGTAGTAGTAGTAGTAGTAGTAGTAGTAGTAGTAGTAGTAGTAGTAGTAGTAGTAGTAGTAGTAGTAGTAGTAGTAGTAGTAGTAGTAGTAGTAGTAGTAGTAGTAGTAGTAGTAGTAGTAGTAGTAGTAGTAGTAGTAGTAGTAGTAGTAGTAGTAGTAGTAGTAGTAGTAGTAGTAGTAGTAGTAGTAGTAGTAGTAGTAGTAGTAGTAGTAGTAGTAGTAGTAGTAGTAGTAGTAGTAGTAGTAGTAGTAGTAGTAGTAGTAGTAGTAGTAGTAGTAGTAGTAGTAGTAGTAGTAGTAGTAGTAGTAGTAGTAGTAGTAGTAGTAGTAGTAGTAGTAGTAGTAGTAGTAGTAGTAGTAGTAGTAGTAGTAGTAGTAGTAGTAGTAGTAGTAGTAGTAGTAGTAGTAGTAGTAGTAGTAGTAGTAGTAGTAGTAGTAGTAGTAGTAGTAGTAGTAGTAGTAGTAGTAGTAGTAGTAGTAGTAGTAGTAGTAGTAGTAGTAGTAGTAGTAGTAGTAGTAGTAGTAGTAGTAGTAGTAGTAGTAGTAGTAGTAGTAGTAGTAGTAGTAGTAGTAGTAGTAGTAGTAGTAGTAGTAGTAGTAGTAGTAGTAGTAGTAGTAGTAGTAGTAGTAGTAGTAGTGAATATATCACAAGATCTTTAGATGTGTTGTTGTTTGTTTGTTTTCATTCATCAAATGACTCACTAATGAGCAATTGTTTTGTTGTTTTGTTGTTTTTCTCTTTTTCAAATAAACAATGAACTTCATTGAAGATTCATTATAGGTCACGGTCAACAATATGAATCATTCAATTAATGATAAATCACAGTTGGACTAGATACTGATGACCCATTTATTTATTTATTTACAATTAATAAAATCATTTTCTGTTTATTTGAATAGTTTAATTATGATTAACCTTAAAATTCCATTTTTGGGGGGAAGGGGGGGTGGTTGGGGTAGTGAATCGTTATAGGACAATCACTTATTCAACTGGCATCGATAGGACAATCACAGTAGTTGATAACTTGAATGATCAATATTCCCTATTGCGTTATTGATGAAATTGACTTTTGACCTTTCTATTTTTTTATTTTAAGTGGATTTTCATGTTAATGAATAACGGATGGTTGAATATACTTAAACATGTAGTTAAAAAGTATTTGAAATAGAAGTGAATAAAAGATAGATAATCTATGTTGAATGATTAAAGGCCTACTTGAATTAGACGAGAACGGTGTGACAAACTAGCTAAATTCGAAGTCACATTTTAAGGTCAACATTTGATGTGGATTACTCCATCGACGTATCAGAGTACTATGGCTTCTATAAAGACCGTATAATACGGAAGACGTTTTTAAAGAAATATATTAATAAGATAGTGAGACCACCACCGTATGCGCCAGTTTATGACATTCAATCAACTGATGCGCGTTGGTTGTCCTTGACTTTGATTAGGATCGATGATCTGTTCGATATGCAGTGACACAAACTGCTGAATGATTTGGCTAGGCCTCAGTGACATTTCACTTGCCCTATAATAGCAATACAGACTACTTGTAAAATCCTTTTCTGCAGGTTTTGTGTGTGTGTGTGAAAATCCTTCCATACAAACACTTGTAATTTGTTCCTATTGATTTCTCTCGTAATACATGTTGTTAGTCTTTTTGATTCCATTCGAGATGGTAATATTTGTATTTTATTACATACTCACTTACTTACGTCTGTAACTCCCCAATGGAGCATAGGCCACAGATCAGCATTCTACAACACACTCTATCCTCGGCATTCCTTTTCAGTTCTGTCGAATTCTTGTTCATTCTTCTCATGTCTGTCTCCATTTCTCAGCGTATTCTGTTCTTTGGTTTTCCTTATCAACCCCTTTGACCTTGAGGATTCTATATGAGGGCTTACCTTGTGACGCAGTTGGGTGATTTCCTCAATGTGTGTCCTATCCACTTCCAACGTTTCTTCCTGATTTCTTTCTCCACTGGGATCTGATTTGTTCTCTCCCATAGTAGGTTGTTGCTGATAGTATCTGGTCAACGGATCCGAAGTATTTTGCTAGACAGCTGTTAACAAGCATTTGTATCTTCTGGATGATGGTATTCGTAGTTTTCAAAGTTTCCACCTCATACAGTAGAACTTTCTTGACATTTGTATTGAAAATCCTAATCTTGGTGTTGGTTGACAATTGTTTTGAGTTTCAGATGTTCTTCATTTGTAGATATGCTGGTGATGCTTTACTGATCCGCACCTTCACACCTGTATCAGATCCATCGTGTTGATCAATGATGCTGCCCAGATATGTGATGGTTTTTGCATATTCCAAAGTTCCTCCGTCAAGTGTGATTCGATTGTTGCATGTTGTGTTGTATGGGCGAATCTTGTCTTTCATCCACCTAATATTTAGGACTAAATGAGGGTTATAAATCAGTGTGAGGAATTAGAATTATGATTTACAGTTGATGGTTAAGGTTAAGAATTAGATTTAGGGTTTTTATCTTCAACTGATATCAGCTAAAATGCCAAAACTCTTCCAAATCTTAGTCAAGTGTGATTCGACTGTTGCATGCTATGTTGTATCGGACAATCTTGCTTTTCCCTTTGTGTATGTTGAGACATACTGCTGATTTGTATTTTATTATTGTTTTTAATATTTTCTTCCACTTTCACTGAGTCTCTATGTTTCTTCCTGAACTCTATTTATGTTGTTTTAGTTAATACTTAGTCTTGGCGGCAGCCATATGGGTTTGTTCCCCCCTTTTGATTGTGTTACTTGCATTGACTGGAATTGTGCATTTTTTCATTATGAGTTGAAGCACTCTTCTAGAATTGGAAATACTCTCTGCGTTATAAAGCAACGAAATATTATCTTTCGAGCGAATCTGTATGTGATCTATCCAGAATAACATTTATTTGCTTCGATTGGTAATTTTCTTACATCCTTTATCTACTGATGAATCCTACAATAGGACGAAACGGCCATCCAATGCTTCCAGGTTTCCCATGCTTGTGATCTAGCTTCAATTAACTCATGATTTCAACTACTGAAATTACTTTATCAAATTATTGATTTGTTAATATCAGATAGTTTTTGTGGATATTATAGTAATTTCAATGGTTAAGATCATGAGTCGGTTGAAGCTAGACCACCATGGAAAACCTGGAAGCACTGGACGGCCGTCTCGTCCTATTGTGGCACTCCTTGGCAGTGCGCATCCACGACCTCGCCCCCTGTGACATTCGAACCCAGGACCTAGTGGTTTTGTGCGCGAGCACATAACCACTAAAACACTGAGCCGGCATCCAACGGTTGTAATTTAGATTTGGTTAATAATTGAGTAATTATTAATTGGTAATAATTGTTTAGGTAATCATGTACATTTATAATTATAATGAAATCCAGAATCATCATTTACTTGTTTTGGTTTTGATATGATGGAAAGAAAAAGTCAATTTTCGTTTGATTTACTCATTATGAGTATCTTTTCTACTAGAATCGTTTTCGTCGTCTTCGTCGTGTTTTGGGGTTAATAAATCATCACTTATACCAGTCTTTATGTTCTTACTTTCGAGTCGTACGAATTGCAGAGGTCCCTTGTTCCGAGTATAAGTGATAAGTGTTTCCAACATAACAATTAGCGACGATCAGATACAAAAAATTAGCATTAAACGAGCAAAGACAATAAGCATTCAAACAACAAGTTCTAACAGGTTTCAATTAGTCAATAGTACTTATCTAAACTATCTAGACTTTTATTCTTTAGTCCAAATCTTAGTTTGGATTCTATACTACTATTTCGTTTTATTACAGTTATTTATGTGAACGTTCAAGTCAATATTATTATTATTATCATTATTGTATATTGGCAAGCTATTCGGGTAATAAAAATGAAAACTGTAATAAAATGCGGGAATAATTGTATAATTGATTCATTAAATGGGTATGAGAATAAAATGATGGGAAATCTATGATTATGTTTTTCTCCCAACATTTGGTGTAAGTTGAAGATTATTCTCACTGTATTTAAAAATGGTATTAATAGTAGTAATAACAGTAATAGTGAGTTATGTTGTTAGGATTGTTACAAATTAAATATTCTCAAGCTTTTTTAATGATTCCTTAAAATAACTTACTTATTTACTTACTTATGCCTGTTACTCCTCGTGAAAAAGCATAGACCGCTCACCAGCATACTCCATCCAACCATGTCCTGGGCAATCCTTTCCAGCTCTTTCCAATTGTTATTCATTCTTTTCATATCTGATTCTATTTTCCAACGTAATGTGTTCTTTGACCCCCCTATTTTCCGCTTCCCTTCAGGATTCCAAGTTACGGCTTGCCTCGTGATATAGTATGGTGATTTCCATAATATATGTCCTATCCATTTCCATCTTCTTTTCCTAATTTCCCCTTCATCTGGAAGTTGATTTGTTCTCTCCCACAGTAGACTGTTGCTGATAGTATCCAACTAATGGATGTTGAGTATCTTGCATAGACAACTATTCATAAATACCTGTGCTTTCTTGATGATTGTTGTAGTAGTTCTCGAATTTTCAGCTCCATAAAGTAGAACTGTTTTGACTTTCATATTAAAGATTGTGACTCGATTATTGTTTGACAGACATTTGTTTTGAATTCCATATATTCTTCAATTATAAGAATGCTGTCCTTGCTTTCTCAATCCACGCTTTTACGTCTAACGGTTACAATTCCTGGCTCACAGCCAAGCGGCTCGGTGTTTAACTCCCTGCGCGGCTTAGTTTTTAACTCTGCCTATTACTTTTCTAGAGTTACTACCGGTTTCAAGCCCGGATAAAGAAGGAGGGTTGTGCATGAGGTTAGCAACCTTCCCCCCCCTCCATAGAAAACTAACTCGCCCTCCCCCCCCAAAAAAACCACTAAACAATTCAAATCTATTATTAGTAATATTATTATATAATCTAATGAAATGAGTTATTTTATCAAAACAAAAATATACAATTATACAATTGTTTATTGTGATCGTCTATAAGAAAAGAAAAGAAGAAAAGAAAAGAAGAAAAGAGAAGAAAACAAAGAAACAAACAAACAAACAAAAAAATCAATAATTGAACGAATTTCTTTAAACAAAATCAGTAGAAATTGATGAAATATTATCATGATTTGAATCATACTGTGAAGAATTCGATTGTTGTTGTTGTTGTTTTTGTTGATTGTTTATCATATACATAAGTGTATTCGCATTATTATCATCCATTGAATCTTTAGAATCATTTATTATTGAATTATCTATTATGATATCATATTTAAAAGATTTCTTATCATATAATTGTTTATCAATAAAATCAATTAAATTAATTGGTGTTATTGATTGATTACCATTTTCTATTGATTTATTGATTTGTTTATGATTAAATTGATTTAATAATAAAGATTGATTATAATGATCAATAATATTTGTTGAATGATTTAAATAGAATACAGATAAATTATCATTATTATTCTGATTAGATTGTTTATTAAATGTTTGTAATGTATTAGGATATTGGTTAATAATAGTATAATCAGAACAGTTTGATGATGTGGCAGTAGTAGTAGTAGTAGTACTAGTACTAGTAATAGTAGTAGCAGTGGAAGTAGTCGAGATAACAGAAGGTGTAGATGGTGTAGAAGTAATACAAGGTGTAGAAGTCATCATAAAAGATTGATTATCTGAAAGATAATTACCTATTTTATGTTGAATTGTATGTTGTGGTGATAAAATTGTTGTTGATTTACTTGATGGAATATTTGATTGAATATTAGAAGTCCATGAAACTAAATGAATAAAATAGAAATAAATGAATTGAATACAATTAATAATTCAAAAGTATCCCGTACGGAATGTTTACAAATGCGTTTTTTAACGGGTTCTCGAAGATTTGCCAGACACTTTGCTATAGAGTGGTAAGGGGATCCTCACATATCGAGAATTGGTCTAAGAGGTAGGCCAAGTTTGTGTATTTTTGGCAAACCGTATAATCGCGGTATTACTGATGCTGTTGGTTGTTGATCTCAAAACCAATCAATGAGAAAAACAAGACTGAGATTATAGAAAAGCAAATGATTGAACTTCTTAAGAGAATGAAAAATGAGCAGTTAATTAACGAACAGGTCTTTGAGCGCATAAAACCAACAGCATCAATAATACCGCGGTTATAAGGTTTGCCAAAAATACACAAACTTGGCCTACCTCTTAGACCAATTCTCGATATGTGAGGATCCCCTTACCACTCTATAGCAAAGTGTCTGGCAAATCTTCGAGAACCCGTTAAAAAACGCATTTGTAAACATTCCGTACGGGATACTTTTGAATTTATCGAGCACATAAAAGAAGTGAATGTATGTGACAAAATTATTCTATCTCTGGATGTCGAATCATTATTCACTATTGTTCCACTCACAGAGACCATTAATTTTATCTACAACTAATTATTATTGTCTATTTTTAATAATGGGGATATGTGGAGATTGTAGTATGTTCACAACTGAAATGATAAGTCGATCTAAGCTAGATCATCACTGAAAATCTGGAAGGACTCTTCAGTAGTGCACACCTATAATCTTACAAGTAGGATTCGAGCTCAAGACTTTCGGTTTCGTGCATGAGCGCTTAACCTCTAGACTAATGAGCCAGTTTCCAACGGTGTTAATGTCTTTGATTGAAATGATGAACCGACTGATGTTAGACCACCGTTGGAAACTTCGAAGCACTGGACGGCCGTTTCGTCCTATTGTGTGACTCCTCAGAAGTGCGCATCTACGACCCCGCTCACAGGATTTGAACACAGGGCCTTCGATCTCGTGCGCGAATGCCTAACCTACTGGACTACTGAGCTCATTAGTGACTAGCTTCGTGGGACAATTCTCGGAGTTCTAGTGAGTAGCCGTGACCAGTGGAGCTAATCCATGTCGGGTAGAGACAGGCATCTACCTCAGTACAATAGAAGATGGTTGGGCAATTACGTGTATTGGTTGATGTTAGACACTATCACCATTGGATGTCGGCTCAGTGATCTATAGGTTAGGCGTTCGCGCGCGAGACCGAATGCTCTGTGTTCGAATCCCGAGAGCGAGATCGTGGATGCGCACTGCTGAGAGGTCTTACAATAGGACAAAGTGGCCATCCAGTGCTTCCAGGTTTCCAACGGTGGTCTAACATCAATTGGTTCATGATCTCAATTAAAAGCTTAATAATCTCCACAACCCTTATACTAGTGTTATTGTCTAATTTCAACCAATTGCTTTTAAAATAATAAAAGTTTTAGAATATTTAAAACTTAGATTTTGACTGCGAACTAATATTAACCAAAACGTTCTTAATAAGTATTAGATATTTGTTTTTAAACTTGTTTAAGTTTCTTCAAAAGTGAACACCTATGAAATGGTTTTCCGTAAATGATTCATTTTTGTATTGGTTGTTTAAATCCTTCTCCTCTATTGTTGGTATATGTAAATCCTCTGCAGATTGACTAGATATTGCCTTAAGTCACAAGGATTATAAGCAAAGATGGATGATGGAGTACCAACTCTCGAATGCAAGTATATCCATCTAATGAGTCCCATATAGGACGAAATATGAATGTTGAATTCCATTGCTAAACGCCAACATCTCTGCTTATAAAGGTAAATCAGGTTCTTATTGAATACTCATTTCATATCAATTTACTAAATACTCTCTTTTTATAAATGAAATCTATTCTGAGAATAGAATAATGAAGCATATATATTCTATATAAGTTAAATTTTACACAACTATACTGTAATAATATTGAATGGATCCTATAAAACTAAATAAAAATTCGAAACTGACCTTGATGTTGTTGTTCTTGCGGTTTGTCATGATCTTTGTTTGATGATAAAGGAGATAATGACTTGAAGTAACCAAATAAAACAATAGAAAGTAAGAAAAGATTAGTTCAACATTCAGAAGAAGAAAGAACATATATAACTAGTTGAAATCATGAGTCAATCGAAGCTAGATCATCATAAAAACCTGGAAGCACTGGATGATCGTTTTGTCCTATTGTGTAAATCCTAATCAGTGCACATCCATGCTCCCGCCTCGCGAGACTCGAAACCAAAACCTATCAATCTTGCGCGCAAACGCTTAACCTCTAGACTACTATACCTGCTAGTATCCATTGTTTTTATTGTCTAACTTTAACAAATCCACTAAGTTGCGCCACCGTCCATCATTGTCATCAGTGAGTTACTATCTCACAACAAATCTAGGTTGAACTTCATTGATCACAACTTTACACTACAATTCCAAGAAATATCCCTTGAAGGGGTATATTAATAATCTCAATAGTTGATTGGTTGAAAAACAACAAGATAAATCAACCAATAAGGTTGTTCGGATAATCTAGACATGATTTATTTTTTCAAGCTACTTCCTTTTAACTGTGAATAGTTTAGATCTAAATGGTAACTTTTCTGTTTTTAAGGAAATATATCTAAAATGAAAGGTATCATTCTGATTGACATAAATGATATAACCGGAAATATTGAGATAAGATATTCTATTGTCAATCATTATATAAAACATTTGTTAACTATTGAATAAGAATTGATCAGTAACAACTTCCATTGTAATGAATAAGAACAACAATAGTAGGGATAATCCAATGTATTTTAATACAAACGTATTGAATCACTTAGTTGAAACTGAGTATTCTATAGTAAATAATTCATTTACAATATCACTGGTTGAAATAATGAGTCAATTGAAGCTAGACCACAACCATGGAAAACCTAGAAGCACTGGATGACCGTTTCGTCTTCGTATGGGATTCCTCAGTAGTGCGCATCCACAATCCCGCCCCCCCCGTGAGATTCGAACTCAGGACCTACCAATCTTGCGTCAGGCGCTTAATCAACTAGACCACTGAGCTAGCATCCAAGCCCTCACGCGTGAGATTGATAGGTCCTGGGTTCAAATCTCGCGAAGTGAAGTCGTGGATGCGCACTTCTGAGGAGTCGCATACTAGGACGAAACGGCCGTCCAGTGCTTCCAGGTTTTCCATGGTTGTGGTCTAGCTTCAATTGACTCATGATTTAAGCCAGTGAACTTTCTAAAATCTCCACAAAACACTTTCTGCTAATCATTTACAATATGTCAATCAGTTGTTCTAGACTTGATTGTTCTTTTGTTTACACAGCAATTATTCTCTGTTCTCATCCTGTTTTCTTCGACCTTATTAACCTTCTGCTACTGGACACTTCACTCTTGATTGATGATACATATTACTTATATCTGACGATATCAGTAGCATATATTACATACTAAGTACATTTTCATTATGTATTACACTAATATTATGGATAAGAACTAGTGATGTATTGAATAATCTTCAATTTGTTTTACTAGTGATTATTCAAGTAACAAACATTATTATTTGTGATAGGATTAAATTGAAGGAATGAGTTTAGTTCACCTAATCGATATATCTTCGATCCACATAGTTCTAAGCCTTTAAACTGAACCATTATTGGAGAGGTACAGAGTTCGCACTTAAGTAAATAATTCAAGTACTCAGCTTTCAACAATTGAACACTACTTAATCCAATCTGTACAATTAAGTAGTAATAATCAGCATATGTTTTTGAACCTGAATTGCAATGAGAATAAATTGCCTACCTCACAATGGTTTGTAATTTACTTTGGCTGAAATTTAAGATTGAGTGAGACTATAATTTATAGACTACCTTTGGGCGACGCTGAAATGATCTTGAGAATGTCCACCTACTGATTAGGGTTGAATGAGGGTTTTAAACCTGCGTGAAAGATAAGGATTGTGATTTATAGTTGATGGCTAGGGATAGGGATTAGATTTAGGGTTTTCATCACGAACTGACTTCAGCTAAAATGCCTAGACTCTATTTAGCCAAACGGATAAAGAATTTCGCACCGACATCCAAGACCTGTTATCGTAATTCTGATTGGTTCGTCCATACATTATAGTTTCGCCTAAGACTATTATGCCATATATTCATCTTTAGTGGATGACATCAATATAGTCTTCATCATTAATAATCACAGTCCGAATGTTTAGGAATTTATGACTAAATGGGTTTAATCGGGTAAATTATTCAGAATGCACATAAAGTGATAGAAACTGATTAATCTCAATCTTGAATCCCAACAACAAGAAATTAAAAACGATTCATCACACTTTCATTCCTGTTGAACAAGTAAGTTAATACTTGACCTGAATGTATTAGTAAATAACGTGTTTGCGTTTGACACATTAGGTATCAGGTTCGAGTTCCAGTATGAAATTAACACTAAGATGGAGATTTAACCACTTGAAAGCTTCATATAAAATGATACGTCCACTTTGGCCCAAATTGTCAGGTATAATCTAATTATGTAAAAATACATTATCTGTTTCGGTAAATTACCACAATTTTCAATACAAATATCAAGATAGTTCTACTGTATGGAGAGGAAACCTGGAGAACTACGAAAGCAATCATCCAGAAGATACAAGTGCTCATTAACAGCTGTCCAACAAAATACTTCGAATCCGTTGACCAGACACTATCAGCAACAACCTACCACGGGAAAGAATAAACCAGATGTCAGTGGAGGAAGAAATCAGGAAGAAGTGTTGGAGGTGGATAGGACACAGATTGAGGAAAGCACCGAACCGCATCACAAGGTAAGCCCTCACATGGAATCCTCAAGGCCAAAGGGGGTGATGAGGAAGATCAAAGAATAGAATACGCTGAGAAATGGAGACATACATGAGAAGAATGAACAAGAAATGGATAGAACTGGAAAGGAATGCCGAGGATCGAGTGTGTTGTAGAATGCTGGTCTGTTGCCTATGCTTTTGAGTAACAGTAAAATGATATTGAGGATGTTCACCTATTTACTAGGACTAAATGATGAGGGTTATAAAGCATTGCGAGGAATTAGAATTATGATTTACTGGTGATAGTTAAGGTTAGGAATAAGAATTAGAGTTTTCATCATGAACTAACATTAGGTATAATACTGAAATGGTATTTGTTATACCCTAGTGAAGATCTTATTACGAGTAACTTCTGAGGCCTATTAATAGACTAATATTATATATATATATATATTCCAATTGTATAACTGTTCACTAACTAGATTATGTATATTTATATTTCTGTTATTATAAGCTTCATTTTGACCTGTAGACTATTTCGATGATACGATTTAATGTTCCTAAGTTATGTTCAGCTTATTTATTATTGCATCCCATAATCACAGGCACTTTTTGGCTTGATCATGTACAAAGGTTATTTCCTATTTTATGGTATGACGTGGCCTGTTCAGCCGGTATATGTATATCTGAAATAAATGATTCGCATAGAGGAAGGTATAATCGGTATTCTAAACTCAACTGGACGGGCTAGGCAAACAAACGACCAATAATAACGCTAGACTATTCATATCGGTTGAACGTCATTGATTGAATACAGTAAAAGAGTGAATAAGTCATATTTTGATTGGTCAATAAATTATATGATAACTAACCGAATATAAAATCGTAACAGTATTTAACTAAATGATTATATATATGAATCTCGCGCCAACATCTATGACCTTCTATCTTAAATCTGATTGGTTCACCTATAAATAAATAAACAATCAATATTGTAACTTACCTGATTATCATTATTATTATGTGGTATTACAATATATTCCCAACTTCTAGCAGTTTTTAATTGATTTATTTCATTTGAATTATGATCATGATTATTATTATTATCATTCATTGATCCATTCAATAAATTCATTGAATTATCTAATTTCTCTGATTTTTTGAATTTTAACGATTGTGTAAAATAATTAGGATCAATTTTATTATGATTATTATGATTATTATTACACATGATACTATTAATCGTATCTGTTGCCATGGTAACATTATTCGTATTATTTATTATATCTATTGTTGATATATTCATTGGTAATATTGATTTATTTTTTAAATCTTCATCATTCATCATCGTTTTACATAAATTCAATGGATCATTATTATTGTTACTATGATGAGATTGTTGTAAATAATCAAGATTCGAATTGATCAATGTACTACTATGACTATTACTACTTATATGTTGTTCATATTGATTATATTGTGGTAATGTATAATTATTAGAATCTTGTTTATTAATAATCCAATATTTTTCATAATTTTGTTTTAATTCATTATTATTATTTTATTATTATTGATTGGCATTGTTAAATATATTGATTGTTTATCATTGATTATTGGTAATGTTTTTTGATAATTTCTATATGATATATATTCATTGAATGGTAAAAATGTTGTATAATTTTCATGATTTTTTTGTTTATTTTTTAATGAATTATTTTCTTCAATCAATATTGATTTTAAGGATACATTACTGAATTGATCAATATATGGATTATTTTCATTATTGAATAAGATCGATTGATTGGAATGATATTGATTATTGATTATTGATTTATTAGGATATAATATTGTATTATTATTATTATTATTATTATTATGATTTGTATGATATTTTGAATTTAATATATTTTTCCAATTAAATTTATTATCAGTTAATTTGATATTATTTAATGAATTATCATTACGTAATAGATATTGCATTCGACCATTTCTACTACTACTACTACTACTACTATTATTATTAGTAGTATTATTATTATGATGACGAAAACTTTGAAATCCTCGTCGACCGCATACATATACAGTAATCCCTAATAATACAAGTATGATAGCACAACTTAATGCAACGATAGCAACTAATATAGAACTAGTATTTAATGGATTATTATCATCATAATTATGAAATTCATTTGTTTTCATTAATTTCTCATGATCATTGATTAATGAATAATATTGATTATCTTTGAAACGACGATGTAAATTTAATGATTTAATATCATTATTTAATAAATTTGTAGAATGATGTAAATTTGTAAAACGATTCGAATATATACGTGGTGGTGAATCAATTATCTATATATGAAAGGAGAAGGGGGGGGGTAGTGGAGAAAATTAAGAGAAATAATCAATTATAAATCATTTAGAATGATACTTTATTGATTTTCTGAAAGAAGAATATATTGGATAGTAACTGTTAAGAGTTATTTTTTTGCTAGGTTTGAAGCTATCACGAGTTCACTTAATCTACGAACAAGAAACAAGACTCTGTGACCAAAAACCAGTAAGCTAGTTATTGATGCGTCTCAGCCTCGCTAACTAAAGGGAGAAGTTCAAGCTTGGAATGGGGAAGTATATTCTGCACACAGCCAGAAACGAGCGATCACAACAAACACTAATTCAATACGTATATATACAGTACAAAACCGTTCTTGGAGAGTTTTACCAAACAGCATACTAAAAGACGCAACGGACCAATAGCATTTAAGATATTTTCCAGTGGGAAATACGACATCAAAGTGACAAGAGCGCCTTTGGCGCGAAAATAAAGAAATTCAAATTTTCTAAATAAAATTACAAAATTAAGTTCCTTCCCAAGTGAGTTCTGAGGATCTAAGATCCCCAACATTTATGAACTATCATTATATAGATTTCTATTGGATAACTACTAAGTAATTAGATTATATTGAAGATGTTATAGGTATTTGTAGTTTGACAACACTTTAACCAGTAACATTTTCTATAAATGAATTGTGCTCACCTAGTGAAATCAAAAGTCAGAAGTGATGAGGTTTGAAGATATATTTAATAGGCTATCAATCTATCGAGAATCAAGTGATTTGGGCTAGCTAACGATTGTAAAGGATGTTGAGCATAGAGTTCCCACTCATGATCTGGTGCAGATGCATAGTCGAGCTCCTTCAGCTAGATGAGTACATTAAAACTAATGTGATCAGTATCTAAATGTTGAAGACTTATAGAGCTATTGTTTTTAAGGATTTATTTACCGCTACAATATGTATGTATGTGAATCCTCAAGGCGAAAGGAAAAGAGGAAGACCAAAGAACACATTACGCCGAGAAATGGAGATAGACATGAGAAAAATGAACAAGAATTGGATGGAACTAGAAAAGAAGGCCAAGGACAGAGTGGGTTGGAGAATGCTGGTCGGAGGCCTATGCTCCATTTGGAGTAACAGGCGGAAGTAAGAAGTAAGTAAGTAAGTACAATATGTATGTTCGTATTTGTTTTGTCATAAGTTTTTAATTCCATCTATTGGTTACTGTTATATGATTTGCTATTCTTCATTTATTCCCATTCTATTAGTTACAGTCTACTGTACTCATATACACTTTTTGGCTTGAACTTGTATAATTTTTATTTTCTATTTTATAATATGCTACGATCTGATTTGTTTGAATCTAAACTAAATATGTCTGCAATATAAGATTCATATAGTGATTCCTGATATTTTTGTTATGGACTGAGCTAGGCGATAAACGACTATATAGAAGACCAATGAAGACTTAGAATTGACATAAAGTTGTTAGGGTTGATTGACATGTTATTGATTCAGCACAAAGACAAGGTCATAAAAGTCGATATTCTAATTAGTGTTATTTTATAGGTCATGGGACATGACAGACAGTAGTTTCATTTTAATCAGATAGGAATAAATTTTGACATTTCTAGATTTAAAGAAAAAGGACATTACCTTGAGACTTATGAGTCTTTATCTTCAAACTCATAGTTTGAACTTGGGTCAATTTGTCATAATACTTAATCATTATTCTAAGCGGTGACTAGTAATGATTTCTCTTAGACTATCGGTATAACTGATGTTTAATAAAATGAACGATCCATATTCATTAAGAGTACTTTCGATTACTTTCAAGAATATTATTTAATGTCAGTTAAAGATATAGCTGATATTGTAATATACACTTCATATTGATAAATCTGAAAATGATTAAACATACAATGAGTTCATGATCTCAATTAAAAACTTAATAATCTCCACAACCCTATACTGTTAATTACCATGTGCTCAATAGTGACTAACTTCATAAGTGAATTCTCGGAGTTCTAATGAGAAGCTGTGACCAGCGGAGCTCATTTGTGTCAGATAGAGACAGGTATCTACTGAGATTTAGATGGTGGTTGGAGGTAGTCAACAGGAAACCCTGGACCCGGGTTTCATGCTACTTGGCACTCGTCAGCAAGGTGTACCTGTAATCTTGAGGGAACTGGTGCTCCCTGGCGGATTCGATCTCGTGTCACCCAGCTTCACAGTCAGAGACGTTACCACTGAGCTATCCGAGCCGTGACTAACCTCCTGTAGGACTGAGATGTAATCACAATTGATTGATCACTGGGTGGTGATCAATGTCATGCTTGTCTAGTCCTTATTAGTGCAGATCGAATGCTATCGATCATGTTGCAATGTGGCCACCAGTCTAGGTGACTCGACACTGCGGGCACTATGTATTGAGATTTAGATGGTGGTTGGAGGTAGTCAACAGGAAACCCTGGACCCAGGTATCTACTTTAGTACAATGGAAGATGGTTGCCCAATTTCGTAGATTGGTCAAAGTTAGATATTCACACCGTTGGATACCGACTGGTTCAGTGATCTAGAGGTTAAGCGTTCGTGTGCGAGATCGTGGATTCACATTACTGAGGAGTCCCACAATAGGACAAAATAGCCGTCCAATACTTCAAGGTTTTCAATGGTAGTCTAACATCAGTCAGTTCATGATCTGAATAAAAAACGTCATCATCTCCAAAGCCTCATACTGACAAACATTTAAAAAATACAACTTCTTGATGTTTGATTATTTTCCTGAAGATGTTCAGACAAGACTGTTCAATAGCTGATAGTTTGCAAAATCTTATTCCCGTTTTTTCTTCTTTTTTAAAATTTAGAACAATTCAGTAACAATCATATGAGTATCGAAATTACTCACATTTATCTACATACAAACATTCCTGTGTATATACACATGGTAATAGACTTACTACTCATGTACTTTAACTACAGAATGATATGTTTTAATGTGTTTTTTATTCCCTCATAAAACCATATCCGATACCGATATTCAATGAGAAGGTTAAATAAGACAATCACAGAAAGTGAGCGAGAGAGGGGGGGGAGGAGAGAGAGAGAGACACAAACACACACAAGTTTAGTTACTTAGATAGAAACAGTATAACTAAAATTATTTTCTATCATAGTAAATAAAAGAAAAAAAAATAAGCTGAGAATAAGAATAAAACCGGAAATTTAAATGTTTGTCTATTTTGTAAAGTTTCTTAAAAGACTATTATTTGTTGGTGTTGTTGTTGTTGAGTTGATATGTAGTCTACAATGTAACAGCTTGGATACATATATCAATATACATACTTACTTACTTACTTACGCCTGTTACTCCAAATGGAGCATAGGCCACTGACCAGCATTCCACAACACACTCCGTCCTGGGACTTCTTTTCTAGTTCCATCCAATTCTTGTTCATTTTTCTCATGTCTATCTCCATTTCTCAGCGTATTGTGTTCTTTGGTCTTCCTCTTCGTCGCTTCAGCCTTGACGATTCCATATGAGCGCTTGTCTTGTGACGCAGTTGAATGCTTTCCTCAATGTGTGTCCTATCCACTTCCAGCGTTTCTTCCTAATTTCTTCCTCCACTGGAATCTGGTTTGTTCTCGCCCACAGTAGGTTGTTGCTAATAGTGTCCGGCCAATGGATATGACGTATTTTGCATAGACAACTGTTAATAAACACCTGTATTTTCTGGATGATGGCTTTCGTAGTTCTCCAGGTTTCTGCCCCATACAGTAGAACTGTCTTGACATTTGTATTGAAAATCCTGACATTCGTGTTGGTTGACAATTGCTTTGAGCTCCAGATGTTCCTCAGTTGTAAATATGCTGCTCTTGCTTTGCCGATCCGCGCCTTCACATCTGCATCAGATCCACCCTGTTCATCAATGATGCTGCCCAAATACGTAAAGGTTTTTACATCTTCCAAATCTTCTCCGTCAATTGTGATTGGATTAGTGCATTCTGTGTTGTATCGGAGAATCCTGCTTTTCCCTTTGTGTATATTGAGACCTACTGCTGCTAAGGCTGCTGCCACACTGTTCGTCTTCTCCTGCATCTGTTGTTGCGTTTGGGATAGAAGGGCCAGATCATCATCATACATATAGGTAAATTCTATTACACAATTAGTTATGATTTCAAGTGAACAAAACAAATAATCAAGAATAAATCATTGATTTAAAATGAAGTGAGAAAAAAACTAAAGAAAAGCATAGTGATAAACATAGACAAGTTAGTAATTACATATCGTTATGACCAAATCTATGACGTTGATAGTTAGTAACTAAATCAAGTAAAATAGTGACAGTACTTCATTGATAAGATTAAATATTACTAATTAACAGTGAATCATGTGATTTAAAACTTTATTGTTTAACGATCTATTCATCTGACATTAGGCCATCAACTGGGAAGGTAGAAACTTTCAGAAAGCAATTCTATCGTTAGATGATGATACCTATTTGGATTCTGTATTCATTAAGTATTAATTGTTGTTTTATAAGATGGTAGTTGAAAGTAGTCAACAGGAAACCTTGGACCTAAGTTTTGTGCTACTTGGTATTTATCAGCAAGTATATCTCAGTCTTACAGAAAGTCAGTAATGGCCTAGACAGCTCAGTGGTAACGTTTCTCAATATGAAGCTGTGTAACACGGAATCGACTCCATCAGGGAGCATCAGTTCCAACAAGATTACAGGTACACCTTGATGATGAGTTCTAAAATAGCACAAAATCTAAGTCCGGGGTTTCTTGTTGATTACCTCTAATCACTATTTTATCTCAACATAGTGCATGTAATCTCAAGTTATCTAAACTGGTGGCCGAATTGACACTTTGTCGATAGGATTTGATTTGAACTAAGAAGAACCTGGCATAGATGACATTGATCACTACCCAATGATCAATCAATTGTTATTGTTATTATTTACTCTACTGTTGATAAATTACAGTTAATTAATTATATGCCCGATATTTACTTTTGTATCATAAATGACTTAGTTACATACAAAATATGATTTCTTGTCATTGGTTCTTTATGGCCTTAAAACTAATATGCATTATCATAATATTGATTGAGATTATGAACCGAGTGATATTAGACTACCATTGAAAACTTGGGAACATTGGATGGCTATTTCATCCTATTATGGGACTCCTCAGCAATGCTTAATAATCTCCATAATAGTCTTAATTATATCTGGAATGAAGAAGACTTATCATTAATAGGCTCTATAATTTAATGATCCCGTTTAGTGAAGATAAAAACGTTCCATGGATATGAATTACTGAAGAATAGGAAATTTCATTGAAACAATTTTTTGATGTACAGTTGGTTTTACAGTTCATTATGACAAATACTTATGTAATAGTAGTGGATTGACTTTAGATGTTGTAAAAATGATGAGTCCATTGAAGCTAGACCACCATGGAAAATCTAGAAGCACTGGACGACCGTTTCGTCCTAATATGGGACCTCTCAGCAGGTCTGTTGTGAGATAACAACTCACTGAAGCAATGGTGTACGGTGGCTCAACTTCGTGGATTGGTTGAAGTTAAACATTAACACCGTTGGATGCCGGCTCAGTGGTCTAGTTGGTTAAGCGTCTAGCGCGAGAGTGATAGGTCCTGGGTTCGGATCTCGCGAGGTGCGGGATCGTGGATGTGCAGTGTTGGGGAGTCCCATGCTAGGATGAAACGGCCGTCCAGTGCTTCCAGTTTTTCCATGGTTGCAGTCTAGCTTCAATTGACTCATGATTTCAATAAGTGAAATTTCTAAAAATCTCCACAAAACCCCTTCTGGTTATAAAAATGATCACAAATGTGTATATATCAATAAGTGTACTTTAGATAAAAAGTTACTTAATATGTGGGGGCGGTGGTGGTGGTGGTGGTTCTGATTTCCATCTAGACAGGAATATCAATAGGAATTTCAGAAAAAAAAAGAAACTGCAGTTGTAGTCATAATGGATGTAGGCTAATATTATGAAATGATGGAGGTATACGATAGATTTAATTGATAGCGGTTATAATGTAGATAAATTGGAATCATTTGGAATGATCTAATGTAATAGATGAAATAGCATACAAACAAAACTTCAGTTACTTCTATAATTATAAATGATTAGTTCTAATTAGTGTATGGTATTGATAAGATTGAAACAATTTTAGGTTGTCATTGTCAGATTAGATATATTACAGCAAAATTTATGTTGATAATGTTAAGTTTACAGCAGCCTTAGCAACAGTAGGTCTCAACATACTCAAACGGAAAAGCAAGATTCTCCGATACAATACAACATGCAACAATCAAAAATCACGCTTGATAGAGAAGATTTGGAAGATGTAAAACAAACATTTACATATCTGGGTAGCGTCATTGATGAACACGGTGGATCTGATACAGATGTGAAAGTGTGGATCGGCAAAGCAAGAGGGGAATATTTACAACTGGAGAACATATGGAACTCAAAACAATACAGTTCTACTGTATGCGGAGGAAACCTCGAGAACTACTACAAACACTGTCCAAAAGATAAAAGTGTTTATTAACAGTTGTTTACGCAAAACACTTCGGATTCGTTGACCAGACACTATCAGCAACAACCTACTGTGAGAGAAAACAAACAAGATTGCAATGGAGGAAGAAATCAGGAAGAAGTGATGGAAGTGAATAGGACACAGATTGAGGAAATCACCCAACTGCATCACAAGACAAGCCGTCACATGGAATCCTCAATGCCAAAGGGGGTGATGAGGAAGACCAAAGAACACAATACGCTGAGAAATGGAGACATACATGAGAAGAATGAACAAGAATTGGATAGAACTAGAACGGAATACCGAAGACAGAGTGTGTTGTAGAATGCTGGTCTGTGGCCTATTCTCCATCAGAAACAACTACTAATTTAATTTAAATGAAACCCTAACAGAAAAACTGTATCAGTATAGGGTTGTGGAGATTATTAAGTTTTTGATTGAGATCATGAACCTTTAGAGGTTAGACCACCATTGAAAACCTGAAAGCACTGGATGGCCGTTACCAGTGCAGGTAATCCTTGTCGGATAGAGACAAGTATCTACTTCAGTACAATGAAAGATGGTTTCCCAATTTCGTGGATTGGTTGTGGTTAAACATTCACACCGTTGGATGCCGACTGGTTCAGTGGTCTAGAAGGTGAGCATTCGCGCACGAGACCGGAAGCCCTGGATTCAAATTTTGCGAGTTGGGTCGTGGATATGCATTGCTAAGGAGTCCCACAGTAGGACGAAATAGTGTTGTGGATGCGGAGGAATAGACCAATAATTGTCATGTTAAGTCCAATGGTGCCCTTGGACTTTAAATGGACATTTTCTATTGGTCGATATCTGTTCACTTGTTGAATATTGTACAAAATGTTGTTTTCTATTTTATGGTACGATGTGGTATGCTTGATTGGTATATAAACAAAGTATGTTTGAAATATAATGATTCATATCTCCGAGGCTGTGGCTTGTGTTCTGGACTCAACTAACTGGGCTAGACAGGGAAGTGGGACCAATCGAGACTCTAGGCCGTCCGTACGTGTTTACGTGTCACTGTAATCGATCGATAACACAGGGTAGAAATCGACAGCAACTTAAAGTCATAACAAATAGCCATCCAGCGCTTCCAGATTTTCAATGGTAGTCTAACATCAATCAGTTCATGATCTTAGTCAAAAACTATAAAGACAGAATATAGTTTGGTTGATTTCAATATATTCGGATATTGCTGTAATACAATTTATAGACTAGTCAAGTTAAAACTCAAAAAATTGATTTTGTAAAAGTAAAAACAAAAAAAATCACTTACTTTAACCATTAGTTTCACTTCTGTTGTACGTGATGGAATACCAGCGTCTTGTATATGTATTACTAATGGATATAAACCAATATCTTGTATAGTTAATTCACGATCAATTATTAATTCAGCTGATGTACTACCAAGACGAAAGACTGAAGCTTGATTACCAGAATATAAATTGAAATGTAATAAAGAATTATGTCCTTCATCGGGATCACGTGCTTCAATTCGTGCTATTATCTGAAAGAGATTAGTAAGTTACATTACAATATGATACAAAAACATGAAAAGTGAGATGAAAATTAATGCAGTAGTATGTAAACACATAACGGAGGAAAAAATCAGGAAGAAGCGCTAGAAGTGGATAAGACACACATTGAGGAAAGTATCCGACTGTGTCACAAGACAAAACTTCATTTAGAATCCTCAAGGCCAAAGAAAAATATGAAAACCAAAGAACCAATTACGCCGAGAAATGGAGATAGACATGAAACAAATGAACCAAAATTGGATAGAACTGGAAAGAAAAGCCGAGGACAGAGTGTATCGGAGAATGCTGGTCAGCGGCCTATGCTTCATTGGGAGTAACAGGCGTAAGTAGGTAAGTAAAGTAAGTAAGTAAAATGTGAACATATAATTTAATAGTAGATAGAATATCATCATATATTACTACACAATGACAGATTTTAAACTATGAAACTCAATGTCTCTAACTATAAAATAGTATTGTATTGTGTCTCTTGAGTACAAATTGAGCTGAGTAGCTTTAACTCGTTCTGAAACATTAATGTTTAATGGAATAATTTGCAAATTGTACAGAACTACGTGGGATTCTAGGAAAATCGGGTGTAACAGCTCGATTATCACTGTTCGTCTTATCTTTACTCACTAGACATAGACTTCAAGGGTCTTCTTTTTGTTCCCAATCGATAATGAAAACTAAAACAGTAATGAATCAATTTAAAAGTCTAACGATTGATCAATCCTAGAGGGAACAGAGCATTGGCTTTTGAATTGAGTAAACAAATTTATTATAATAATAATTCATCTTGTATTGATTGTTTGGATCTTCCCATTGATTTTTAAAGACTACAATGGATCAGTCAGTTTTGGCATATGTGCATTCTAGTCGAATTGTCTCAATATTTCCAGGAAATCACAAGCATTCAAAACAGAGATGGATAATGGAGTGAATATCAACTCTTGGGTTCAGATACATTCACCTGAAGAGTTCGAACTAGGACGAAACATGGGTCCTAACCATCATTCATCTTTGTTTCAAAGTTAATAAAAGATTAATTCAATTCTACTTACTTCACCTGGTGGTTCCCGATAAGATACACTAATATTACCTTTACCATTAACTGGAAATACAACAATTGGATCATGATCATTTGTATCAGTTACATGTATATGAACTTTAGCTGTTGCTGAACGTGATGGTTTACCATGATCAATTAATAAAACAATTAATTCATAATTTGCTTGTTTTTCACGATCTAATAATTGTAAAGTTGTTATTTCTCCAGTGGAACTATTCAATCTAAAATGAGATGTTGTACCAAGTAAACGAAAATGTAATTGAGCATTTTCATCAATATCATTATCGGTACCAAGTAGGATACCTAAAAAAAATATTAAAAAAAATTTGATAAGTGAATGAAATCAATGTTTATTAATTCATTCAAGTAAGTTTTTAAGTAGTCTTCGTCATAGGTTGATCTCAGTTGGAGTGCTATAGAAAGCTCTTCCATCCTAGAATCGAACACCTAATATAACTTCATCTTAAGTCTATCTACCGTTACTCGTGGTCCAAAGACAAGGTAGAGGAGCATGGGTTGAGCGATTACATTCTTTGATATTGTAGAGTAACTGAGATGATTGTCACTATCATGGAAATCTTACAATTGACTATACTGTAAAATCGTACTTGAAGAGAGGCTCACAGATGCGTTTTAAGTGAAGACCAGTGTCAAAACGAAGCTTCTTATTCTCACTCTTTCTTTCGGTGATTGACTAGGTTATGAAACCTCTAAGTCACAGGAGAAGCATGGAATACAATAGGTAGCTTAGATAAAGCTAGACGGTTTAGACCTTTTGAGTAACTTAACTTTCCCATCCTATGCACAGTAACCAGTGTAAATGAAGACAGTCAGTGTGAAGGCAGCTTCCAAAACAGTAGGTTTCAGTATTCACGTAGGAGAAAGTAAGACTATAATATACAACACAGAGGACATTAATCCAATCACATTTGATAGAGAAACTCTAAAAGAGGTAGAAGCCTAAAACTTAGAGAACTACTTCAAACATCATCAAAAAAGTACGGATATTTATAAAAGACCATCCAATAAAAATACTCCAGATCCTTCGACCAGATATCGTCAGCAACAATCTACTGTGGTAGAGAACAAATCGGCTTCCTTTTTAAGAAGAAATTAGGAAAAGACTCTGCAGGTGAATAGGACATACATTATGAAAATCATCAATTTCTCTCAAGATGCAAACTCTAACTTGGAATATTGACGACAAAATAAAAAGGAAGACCAAAGAACATATTGCACTGGGACACTGAAGGTTTGACATCAAATAAATGAATAAGAAGTGAAAACAACTGGAAAGTAGAGTATATGATAGAATAAGTTGTAGAATCGGCAGTCTATGCTCCAAGAGTGGTAACGGGCTTTAATAAGATGTATACATACTTCAGTAATTTTCGGAGCAATTGCCTAAAACATCAACAATTAATCCAATGAAGAACTTGATTGTCAAATTGACACTAAATACATCATTATATTCATTACTATTAATCAGTCCCCATTTTGTTATACATTTGATGAGTCATTTTTGATCACAAAATAATTAACCATTTGTAATTAGTTGCTTGAAGTTTACCACAAAACAAAAATTAAAAACTACATTTGATTGAACATCATCATCATCATCATCATCCAAAGCATCATCATCATCATCATCATCCAAAGCATCATCATCATCATCATCATCATCATCATCATCATCATCATCATCATCATCATCATCATCATCATCATCATCATCATCATCATCATCATCATCATCATCATCATCATCATCATCATCATCATCATCATCATCATCATCATCATCATCATCATCATCATCATCATCATCATCATCATCATCATCATCATCATCATCATCATCATCATCATCATCATCATCATCATCATCATCATCATCATCATCATCATCATCATCATCATCATCATCATCATCATCATCATCATCATCATCATCATCATCATCATCATCATCATCATCATCATCATCATCATCATCATCATCATCATCATCATCATCATCATCATCATCATCATCATCATCATCATCATCATCATCATCATCATCATCATCATCATCATCATCATCATCATCATCATCATCATCATCATCATCATCATCATCATCATCATCATCATCATCATCATCATCATCATCATCATCATCATCATCATCATCATCATCATCATCATCATCATCATCATCATCATCATCATCATCATCATCATCATCATCATCATCATCATCATCATCATCATCATCATCATCATCATCATCATCATCATCATCATCATCATCATCATCATCATCATCATCATCATCATCATCATCATCATCATCATCATCATCATCATCATCATCATCATCATCATCATCATCATCATCATCATCATCATCATCATCATCATCATCATCATCATCATCATCATCATCATCATCATCATCATCATCATCATCATCATCATCATCATCATCATCATCATCTCATCATCATCATCATCATCATCATCATCATCATCATCATCATCATCATCATCATCATCATCATCATCATCATCATCATCATCATCATCATCATCATCATCATCATCATCATCATCATCATCATCATCATCATCATTATTTTTGTTAGCTGACTACCTATGAATGTGTCACGGTCTTTTTAAAGGATGATGACAGATAATGAACATGTATGTCAAGTAGTTGACAAGAACAACTATTTTACAATTCAAAGTTATTTTTAAGATAAAAATACACTTTTATCTTAACTAATTTGAAATTTGTAATAAACTACAGAAAACTATTATTATTGATTGTTACTAGGTGACAATGATTTTTGACTGACTTCAGTTAGATAACTGTTGAAAAGTATGAACTGTTGATTGGATCGTTTCATTCTGATGATACGACACTTCAGTAGTGTACACTTGGGAAGTTCCAGATAGATCATACCTAGAATTGATAAGTCTAAGTCGAAGCATTGTATCTGTTATGTTTATTTAATGAAAAAATACTATAGAACTTTACTATATTTCATAGATAACCTCTTCATCATTGGAATTGACCAGTCATTCGCTGTAATAGATAATTTATCTTCAGGAGGAGTTTGTGGAAATTTTAGAAATTTCACAGATTGAAATCATAAGTCAATTGAAGCTAAACCACAACCATGGAAAACCTGGAAGCACTGGACGGCCGTTTCATCCTAGTATGAAACTTCTCACGAACCCGCACGAGACTCGGACTCAGGACCTATCAGTCTCGCGTCAGGCGCTTAACCAACTGGATAACTGAGCCGGCATCCAATCTCCACAAACCCCTTTTGATAATAATCATCTGCTCACTAGTGACTGACTTCAAGAGATACTCCTGGAGTTCTAGTGAGAAGCCGTTACCAGTGGAGTTAAACCACGTCTAATGTGAGATATCAACTGAAGACAATGGTGTATCGTGGCTCAACTTCGTGGATTGGTTGAAGTTAAACATTAACACCGTTGGATGCCGGCTCAGTGGTCTAGTTGGTTAAGCGCCTAGCACGAGGCTGATAGGCCCTGGGTTCGAGTCTCACGGGGTGTGGGATCGTGAATGCGCACAACTTAGGAGTCCCATACTGGGACGGAACAGCCGTCCAGTGCTTCCAGGTTTTCCATGGTTGCAGTCTACTTTAAATTGACTCATGATTTCAATCTGTGAGATAATTTATCTGACTAACAATCATAGAGTAAACCGGTTTAATTTTGCCATATATGAATCATTTAAATAAAAGCAAACAAAAAAGTCAAGTCAACATCTGATAATTGACATTTTCATCCTTAGTAAATTGACAATGTTACTTAGCAATTATTCAATACCTAATAGACTGTTGTTTTTTTCTTTCAAACTGTCCTTGGTTTATAATAAAAAAACAACAATTAAACTACATGAAGTGCTTTATCAAATCAGATAACCAATAACATATTTCAGAAAGAGGGCGTTTTGTGGATATTACAATACTTTTTATTAGTTAAGATCATGAATCAATGGAAGCTAAACCACCACTATGAAAAATCTGGAAGAACTGGACGATTGTTTCGTTCTATTGTGAGACTCCTCAGCAATATGCATCCACGATACCCCTCTTTTGCGAGATTCGAACCTAGGACCTATCAATCCTATTCATCATTCAATTCATAAAATCTTCCTGTAATTCATTCACATTACAATTTGACAAACTAACAAACAAACAAATTTTGACTAACATGTTCTTTCATCTGTATATCCAACAGTAAACCACTAATGCTGGTGATGGGTATACAAGTTAATATGGCAAGACTATCATTTATGGACGAACCAATCAGATAAAAGATAACAGGTCTCAAATTTTGATGCGAAGTTTATCCATTTATTTAGCAAAATAATATTTTGGCATTATAGTTGATATCAGTTAATGATAAAAATCATAAATCTAATTCCTAACCTTAATCTAGTTCTTTACCATAGTTTATAACCCTCATTTAGTCCTAGATAGTAGATGAACATTCTCAAGATCACTTTAGTATCGCTCACAGGTCATCCATAAGCTATACTCTCATTATTGGTATTAAAGTAACCCTTTTTTTTAAAAAAAAGGCAATCTACTAACTATTAACTATCAGTTAACTGCACTTTATTATTTTATTTTAACACATAGATATTGGTACAAGGAGGCACCAAATAGATATGCGCCACACAGATCTCATTTGATATGTGTAAGGGCTATGATACTGTTCGGTTGCCCAAACCGAAACAGATGGTTTCCTTAATAGGCCATAACCGAAGCCTTCGACCTGAAAGTCAGATCCACAAGGCAGTGGAGCAACGTAAGGAGATACAGTCCCATGGTAGCCGGTGACCAATTATTGATTCATATCCCATTTGTTTCCTTCAGGATAGTGGAGTTCACGTGCACCATTGGTTTGGAATCAGGGTTTTCCAACTCCCCTAGATGTAATCTCCATGCCCACCAACCCGGTTAAAGCGCCAGACATTTGCTTTTCATTCTCTCAATTTTGTGAACAGTACCCCCATCACAAGAAGGCAGTGAGTAGGACTTCCCTGACAGAGACGATATACGCGTAGCCATTTGAAAGCATTTCGAGAGGGAGAGCGGACTCTCCTCACTTTCGGCCATACCAGAGCATTTAGGAGCCGTTAACTACAACATAGAACCAAGTATATCACTAACTATATTTAGTTATTTACAACAATCTAAATAACCATAATTCACTTGGTAGAATATTATATCCTTCTATAATGTATACATGGCACCATTTTTAAGCACAAATAA